GAAGGAAGTGCCGTCGACTGTAGGTATCAGGGTTACATGCCAGCTGCATGAATTAACACACGTGTGCTTGAGCCTTGGTAGGTGATACTTTATAAAATATCTAGGGAGAGTGAGTTCTAATGTGGGGAACAAATGAAGCAGAAACTTGGCTTTTAAAGCTCGTGGTGAACTGACATCTTGTAAAGACCTGAGAAAACTTGTAGATTCCAAAACATCTCACTATGTGACTCCATTTATTTCATTTCAACCTTTTAACAGCAGAAGACCATTATCAAATATTTAAGTCACAGTGCTCAAAATTTAAACAGAATGACTGCTAAAGTCATAAGCACATTAGAAGTCTTCAACTGATCCCTCTTTGTGTCTAGGTAATTTGATAGTTGTACTAAGGGCAGAATAATTCGCATGCTGTATATGCAGATACTATACATGCATATGTATACTGTGTACTTTTTATGTTTAAATATATTTACCTATATTCTGTGTATCTGTATATACAGGGTATGTAAGTAGGTGTAGATATAGCAACACCATCTCAAAAATCTCATGTCCTTATATTTTTCTAAACTAATCAGAAGCAGGTTGTGGGCATCGTGACACTTAATAACTATTCAGTCCTTCAGCATAAATTGCCCAAGAATAAGAGCATTCTTCTGTATAACCAAATGCTGACCTGTAATCAGTTCCCCAGTTGTCTTTTGAAACTTGCTTGCTTTTATTTGTTTGTTTGTTTGTTTCTTTCTTTCCTTCCTTCTTTCTGTTTTGTTTTGCTTTGTTTTATAATTGAAGATTCATTCTAGGCCTGTGCATTGCATTTGATGGTTGTATCTCTTTATGCTCTTTTCAGATTTGAAGTGTATTTTCATTATTTTCCTTTTTGATTTTCTTTTTTTAACCACAGTGACTTCTCTGAAGAGTCCAGTACAGTTGTCGTGTAGAATGTCTGTATACCATGTTTGTCTTATTGTTTCCTTCTGACTAAATGTCAGGTTAAAAATTTGGGGCAAGGATATGTCGTCATTGAACTTAGGTACTGCTTGCTGCATCTCATCAAAAGGCATTTAGTGTCAGCTCATTCCCATGCTGTTGATGCTGATTGAATACTTGGTTCAGTGATGACTGCCAGATCTCTCCACTGGAAGGTATATGATGTAACTATTAAATAATTGGGAAATAATTCTTTAAAGGCTGACTATCGTAATCCTCAATAAGTTTTTATTTAATGATCCATGCCAATCAGTTATTACACTGAGAATCCTGTTGGTTTTCTAATTTTACTATTCTATATATTTTATCTAACCTTTTCCTGTAAAAGATAACTCTTCCCACTTTCATATGTATGTATGTATGTATTTACCATGAAGTCATTTAAATTTTCTAATATAAATTCCAACATTACAGTCATTATGTTATGTTCAAATTATCCCATACAAACCAATAGGAACTTTTGAAAGACAATCTGTAATTTTATTTTTAATGGTTATAGCTTTTTGTGTCTTCTGAGAAATATTGCCTACAAAAAGGTTGTAGAACTGTTCTACAATTATTCTACAGATTTTTTGTTTTTAATTTTTATATTTACATCTGTGATTTATCTGAGATTATTTTGTACATGGGATGAGTTAAGGTTTGAGGTTTTTTTCCTTTCCCAACTTTGGTATGTGGTTGTTTCAACACCATTTGCTGAAAACAAACTTTCTATTCACTTTTGGATTGCTTTAACATCTTCGTCAAGACAAATGTCTGCATGCATGTAGATTGTTTCTGAATTCTGTTATTTCCCACTGATTATATGCATGTAGGTTGTTTCTGGATTCTGTTATTTCCCACTGATCCTTATGATAGTACCATAATGTTTTGATTACAGAACTTTATATAGTGTCTTAAAGTTAGTGTGAGTCTTTCAGTTTTTTTTTTTTCTTTTTCAAGATTGCTTTGGTATTCTCATTTCTTTGCATTTCTACATATAGTATAAAATTATCTAGTCAATTTCCATGAAAAGGTTTAGTGGTATCATTAATAGGATTGCATTGAATCTGTACATCAACTTGGGGAGAATCTGTATCTTAACTATAAGAATTCATCCTATCTGGGGACCAGCAGGTGGTATGATGGTTAAGGTGCTGGACACTCCCACATGTCTGACTATGGTTTGAGTCCTGGACCTGATGGTTTGCTTTCTCACTCACCCCCTCCCTCCCGTTGCTGATCAAATTAAAATAAATGAATGAATAAATAAAATTAAATAATTTTTTAAAAAGAATCTATCCTATCCATGAACATGGTGTATCTTTTCATTTATTTTCATCTTCAGTTCATTTCAGCAGTGTTTTATAGTTTTCACTGTTGAGATCTTGAGGCTCTTTTATTGAATTTATTCCCTAATGTTTTTTATACCTTGTTTTTTTATTCATGATACAATGTGTGTATGCTCACAAGAGAGGAGCACCTGCCACATGGCTTGGTCACACCGTGTGATTCTCTTTTCTTCAGTCCTCCAACCTGCTAGAATCTTGGGCATTCATGCATGTAGCTGGTTTGTTTGCAGGCTGACTGGACCAAGGACTTGAACCATAGTTGGCATGTGGCTTCCAGCTCCATATACTCAGCTTCTAGCTAGTACACTACCAGCTGCACTGTAATGACCAGCCCTTAATGCTCTTTTAAATAGACTCCTCCTCCCCTCAATTACTTTTGTGGTTGTGTGACTAGTTTCTTCCCACTCTTCATAATTGGTTTTTTAATTTGTAAAAACATTCCTTGCTAGAAGGAACTACAATGCACTTGCCAGAGAGAAATGAGGCAGGTGTGTGTGTGAAAGCCACGCCCCCATCCCCCTCCCCCTTTGGGAATGGTCATGCTATAATCCTTTCTCCTCCACTTTTCTCTCCTTTTGGGATTTTTGGGTGTGCACACCCATACACCTCGTATGTTTTTCAGGTCACGTGGTCTGGGATTCAAACCACACAGTTGGCCATGTGAGATCCAGCCACATTAACCACTACACCACCAGCTGCCCCCCGCCCCCCATAATTTTGAAATAAGTGAGCCACAAACTGTTAAGTGAGCTTTTGGTAAAATTTATTTATTTTTTATAAATAAGAGAACAAAATTAATCTTGATGCAGCATGATAGCTGTCATATAGAAGTCTGTTCTCCAGAGAGGTATAGAAGAGTGGGAGGAAGCAAAAGAGTGACCTTTGAGTTAAGGGTTATTAAGGTGAATCAAAGCTGCAGAGGTAAGGAGAGCAGCATTCCAGATAGAGACGACAGAGGCAGAGGTTGATGAGGACATAATGCTTTCAGGGAACTTCTCGAGATTTTTAGCATGGAGGAGGAGGCAGAAACGGCCTTATGTTACTTTACGCAATATTTAGGGTTAGAGCCCTATCCTAAGGCTCCAGGAAACCATTTAAAAATTATTTCATAAGCTTAATGTGCTTCTCTAAAAATTTTTCTGGTGTTGACTCAGTGGTTTTGTTTTCTTTTAAATTGAGCTAGTGCTTAATGTTTGGGAAATTTCCTGTGATGATGCAGATTTTTGGCTTCTATGGGTAAATAAGGCTTTGCCTTAATTTCCCCAGATACCCCTGAAGATTGAGCACACACACCTCTTGTTTGCCTCTTGTGCCTTTTCTCCTGCGGCTGATCATCAATTGCCAGGTTTTTTTCAGTGTACATTTTTTTAAAAGAATTATTTTATTTAACTTTATTTATTTAGTTAGTTAGTTATTTCAATTTGACCAGAGAGGGACAGAACAAGCGAGCGAGTGAGCAAGAGAGAAAGTGAGAAAGCAAGCTGCCAGGTTCAAGACTCAAACTGTGGTCAGGCATGTAGGAATCCAGCTCCTTTAACCACCATGCCACCTGACAGCTCCTGTCGACTTCATTGTTGCTTTTCTTACATCTGCGGTGTATATTGCTATGAAAGAGGAAAACTAGAGAACTGAGAATCTAGAGAATTAGAGAGCCACGTTTTAAGCAAAGTGGGAGACAATATCTATGTCCAAATTCAGAATTGTCTCTCAAAAGCTCAAAATTATGCATGTCCATGCAAGTTAAACTCGTCAGAATGTACATCCTTCAATCTTTGGGCTCAAAGAATTGTAAATTGGGTTTCATACATGCTTTCAAATGCAGCACAACATTTTAATGGATAAACAGAACTGTCTGCCCTCCTGTTAGACATGGTGGTTGTAGTTTTTCCTTTTTTTTTCCTTCTTTCTTTTAAGGTTTTTGCCATAGGCATGCACTAACTGGAGAGAGACAGAGAAAGACCGCGAGAGGGGAGGGGAAGGGATAAACAAACACTCAGAAGAGATGGCTGCGCCATGGTCCCTGCTCCTATTTTCTTCCTGGGATTTTGGTCACACATGCACACCTGCCTGGCGTGATTTGTGGCCAGCAGGTCCATGGCTTGAACCAGTGGTCAGCCATGCGGGACTCCGATGCTTTAAACACTGTGTCACCTGCTGGCCCTCATGGTTGTAGGTTCCTATTTTTATTTCTTAAAATGCCTAATTCTTTCATTTTACCTTTTGTTTCAAAAGGAATTAAGGTATTTAAGGGAGTGAATCTGATAATAAGCTCGTTGATAGCTTTACACTGTTTCCACTGTCATTTTCTAATAATCGTTTTATTTTTATCTTCGTGGTTACTTTAGGGATACTGCTGTGTTGTCTATTGTATGCACTGTTTGACTCACACAGTTCCTTCGCAAGACTTATTAAATTAGATGTTTCTTGGTGGTCTTGTTTTATAATTAATTTTGTGAACATTTCTTGTCATCCCCTCAAAATAGCATATAGCCTATGCCTGTAGAGTTAAAAATAATTATCTTTCTAAAAAGCACAATTTTTCATTTTTGTCTTTGTTTGTTACTGTAGGGCATATGTGCTCACCCAAGAACAAGAGGGAAAATGAGAAATCGTCCCCTGGGGCTATGACCACACCACAGTCACTTCTCCGTTCTCCTTTTAGGATCTTGGGCACGCACGCACACACGCCCAGTGCGATTCTCAAGCTGTAAGTTTTGGACTTGAACCACAGTAGGCCATGTGGGAGTCCATTGCCATAACCACTGTGCCACCTGCTGGTCCCATGATGTGATGATCCTGCAGTTTTACTCTCAGATTATCCTTTTTTTTTTAGGATTGAGTCCATAATTTAGCTCTCAGAGGGCAGGATTATTTTAATTGTTTAAAAATTCTCCCCCATTGTAGCCCTAAGAACATAGACAAATTCGTGAAAAGCCTTGTGGAGTGTACATACAGCTTTTAAACATCTTACATATTTCAGTTGGCATATTAGTAAGGGTTTGCTGGCAGAATTTGGCTCTTGACCAGGATTTTTTTTTCTTTTTACTTGACATAATCTCAAACAGTTGGTTAGATTATTTTATTTAAATGCTTTATGGAATTTCTCACATACTATTTTGAACTTTTCTTGAGAGAGGTTTGCTGTAGGGCACCATGCATGCACTCACTAGAGAGAGAGAGAAATAGAGAGACAGAAAGCAAGAAATCTCTCCCGCCATCCCCAGGGAGGATATCCAGGCTGCAGTTCCTCCTCCTCCATTCTCTTCTTGGTATTTTGGGGACGCACGCATGCACACGTGCCTGGCATGAATTTCAAGCCTCCAGGTCTGGTTCTTGAACCATGATCAACCAGGTGGGAGTCCAGCATCTTCACTACTGTGCCACCTGCTGGCCCCCACATATTATTTTGAAATGGCTAATTCCACCCCCTCAAATTTTTGTATTAGTAATTCATTTCCTTCAGATGATAATTTGGACGTGAGTGTAGGTGTTTTAAAATTCAGTTCAGTGGTCCAGATTTTAGAAACGTTTTATCTAAATACTGTATTTAATTTGGAACATTTATGGCATAGAGGAAAACAGACTGCTTAGAAATGTCAGCATAATGACACATGGTAGTGGGAAGTTTGCCAAAGTAAAATTGATTTGATCTTGACTTTATGAAACTTCCTGAAGTGTTCCATGGTGATTCTCCAGCTCAGGAAGCTGGGGTGTCACACAAACACTTCAGTTCCCTGACCTTGCCAGCTGCCGGCCCTTTGCCCAAGGACGGATTACTTTCCAGGGTAAAACTAGTGCACCTGTTGGCATCAGTTAGCTGAAGAAGTACAGTACAGTGAACCATATTCTTATTGTTTTCTTTTGTTGGCACATCTTACCTACTCACCCACCTTTTGGTGTTTTCAGATGGAAGCAGCCTCATGTAGGCAAACATTGAATAGAACTTTCTATCTTATGAAGGTTTGACTTACCAGCTTAGTTTGACATGTCAGTAATCTAGGTCTTCTTAGGCATGGTGTAAGGTTCCTCTTGTCATGCTGGTACCTTTAGAATATGAAAGTGTTTGCGTCTTTGTTTTTTAGTACTCTGCTTTAGTTTCCTCTTCTCTTTTGCCTGCTTATTTTTAAAGCATTTATGGTTTTTATTTATGCCTCTTCCTCATTCTCCAAGTGTGTTTGCCAGTGTCAGTGTCATAGTTTGCTCATTATCCCCATTTCCCACTTCATTCTGGAAACTGAGGGCTCTAAGCAAGACTTTCACCATCATAAAGCAGGTCTCTTACCATGTGGTGGGCCTTTGGAGCTTCTTCTTGGCCTAACCACTGAGCTGGACATCACTGATTGTCTTATAAAAATCCACTTTTCATCACACATCACAATCCAGTCAAGAGATGGTTTGTTGTTGCATAGAATAAGAGAAGACAGCACTTAAAAATGATTTTTTTGATTTTCGTTCGGCTCATGAAGCACCTACTTACTGGGCCTTCTCACCTTTCCAATTTGCTTCAGATGCCAAATGACCATAGAATGATTGATGATGAGTTCTTTGGCACCTTCAATGATTGCTCTCAGTTGGTCATTGTCAACTTCTGATGGCTGGCCACTGTGCTTCTCATCCTAAGGCTGTCATCTCCTTTGCAAGAGTTCTTAAACCACCACCGCACTGTGCGTTCATTAACAGACCCTGAGTCAGTGTGTTGATGCTAGTTGTCTCCACTGCTTCACGGCCCATTTTGAACTCAAATGAGAAAATTGCTCAGATTTGCTTTTTGTCTAACATCATTTCCTTTTCTTTTTTCTTGGAGAGATTTTTGCTGTAGGGTGCATGCGCTTGCCAGAGAGACAGAGAGAGGCAGAGAGAAAGAACGCCAGAAATCACCCGCCCGGGGGGACAGCCATGTCCTAATCCCTTCTCCTGCATTCCCCTCTTGGGATCTTGGGCATGCACACACACCTGCCAGGCACGAGTTTAAGCCACCGAGTCTGGGTCTCAAATCACAGTCGACTACACGGAATCCAGCGACATAGCCATTATGCCAACTGCTGGTCCCTGTCTAACATCATTTCTGTAGTCTAAAATATATATAAAGTAAACAGTAAGTAATAAATTTTTAGCCGAAAAGCATAAAATAAATGCACATTAAAATGATGTACAACATAACCACATTTATTTAAGAATATACCTAATATCAAATGGCACATTTCAGCAAAGCAACACTGCCATCATTTTTGCACCAAGTTCATGAAATTCTCCACCCCATTCTTTCACTGGGATTTGAATAAATCCTGAATTGTAGATTCACCTTCCCGTGAATATGGCTTACCAATATTTAACACCTTTAGAGAGGCATAGCTTTTCCTAAGCTAACTCCAGAAAGGATCTCAGTAGTGAGAACTGAATATTTGATACTTCTGAAATGACATTTGGGAAAATATCCAAGTCCTTCCTCAGAAAGGACCAGTGTGGTCTTCTCAATTCCACAGGGATTTTTGAGCATCTCCTTTGTGCTGGGCACTGGACTAGATGCTAGACAATTTATTCAATGCATGCGTATGTTCCTGCTGTCTGCCACACACTGTATTCCCTCCCGTCCTTCCTGCGGACTGCTCTGAGGCGCGGCTGCTCCAGCTGGTGTATCCAGAGGTACAGCACCTGGCCGAAGGGATACCCCCATCGCTACGTTGCTGCGTCTCTCCCACCTCAACAAGCCAGGCAGCGCTGCTCGTCCGTCCCTGTTCTGCTGATTGTTATGCTTACTTTGTCCGATGCTTTTAAGGAACTCAGGGGAATATAGTCTATGTATGTACACTGTAGAAGAAACACACCTAGTATGTCAAATGTACTTGTATTAGAAGGTGTCTTTAACTCAGGGCTACCACAATGAAAGGAATCCCAGAAAAACCAAGTTCAGAATTGTGATAAGGACTAATAATGCAGAAACCAGGCATTTCTTACAGAACATTAATTGGCTGATATTTCTTTAGTGTTTTTGACCAGTACTTCCTAAATTTCCCAGTTCACAGATTACTTTATGGAAATAAAAAAGGTCCCTGAGCTCTCTCTCTCTTCTCCCACTTGCTAACAAGTCCCTACCAATTCTCCAATGAATTGGAGGTAATTGGATTTTGGGAGGGGCAGCTGTTAGACTTGTTTACCAGCCCTTGGGAACTGCAAGAGGCCCTGGCATGTGTCTGCCAGTCATTTTCACCATCAGGGAGGGAGATAGAGGATAACCTTCATCAAGAGAGTGTCCTAGAAATCTGAACCATGTTTTTGCATGAGCTTGAAGATGTATACTGACATTTGTATCCAGAGCAATCCACTGGATTAAGTACAGGTAAATAATATTTTTCCTTTTATTTTTTAAAGAAAGGAAGTTATCTCTCCTCCTTTTAAGATTTCCTTATTAGGCCATCCAGTGACATGGTGATTAGGATGCCTGGATCCCACATGGCTCATTGGGCAGTTCGAGTCCTGGACCCAATAGTTGAAAGACACACCAAGCACATGTGTGTGTCTGCCCCACATCCTGAAAGTGAGAAATGGAGAACAGATTGTGGCATGACTGTCCCTCATGGGAGGTGCTTTCTTGTTGTCATGGTTGTGCTCCCCCTCCCCAACCTGACCTCCCCCTGCTACCCCTCGCCACCTCTCACCAACTCTCTCTAGCAAGTGCATGCACCCTCTGGTAATTTTTAAAAATAGATTATCTTCTTGCCCAGAGAGACAGCGATTTGATTAGAGTCAAGCTGTCCAGAATAAGCTGTGCTTTTGATACTGATGCCATTATTATCAGAGCTGTTGCAAGTATCTGTAAATTCTAGCTCATTAGCAGTTATACACATACCTGAAAAAGAACGTGCTCTTTCCCCCAAGTCGTGTATACCCTTGTATAATGTTACTTTTTATTTCAAGATAGCATGATTCAGATTTCTAGGGTTGGTATTTTGTTTTGTCCTTTTTTATTCAAGAGGAATGGGTTTGTGGAAGGAAGAAGGAATGAGATTGAGAAAAATGATATAACTTGAAAATGATTTTCCTCCTATAAAGAGCCCTCAGTTTAAATTTTGAATTTGTTGAATTTTCTGTGGAGTGAATTAAATTTTCTAAATTAATGTTTAAATGTAGTTACTAATTGTTAGACTGACTTAAGGATTTCCTGGGTTGCTTTTTTCTTAATGAAGAATGTGTTACTGTAAAATGTGTCTATATTCATCCAGCTTCAAATAAAGCATTTCTCAGTGATCATTTTAAACTTTAAAATGCACATTTCATCATAGAGAACATATTTGTATTCATTTTTACTTATGAAATTAACTCCCAGAAGTCTGATAATTTTAGTACTTTGCAAGCTTGCTTTTTATTTATTTTTTTTAATTCTGATTTTGCCAGAGGATGCATGTACTCATCGGAGAAGAAGACAGAATGCAGGAGAGGGAGAGTGAGGAGGCGCTCCTGGGCCATGGTCAGGCTGCAGTCCCTCCTTCTCTCTCCTCTCAGAATCTTGGGCGCACACGCCCATGCATGATGTACGAACTACCACGCCAGGACTCCAGCTTCAGGGTCGGCCCTGTGGGATCCATCTGTCTTAACTACCCTGCCATGGACTGGCCCAGCTTTGCAAGCTGTTTCCTAAAGTGCTGATGTGCCAGGGAATATGCCATTTATACTCCTCCCACTAGAATGGTATTGCCCTTGTGGAGACAGGAATCTCCCACTAGAATGGTATTGCCCTTGTGGAGACAGGAATCCTATAGGAGTTCTTTATTTGTGGAGCTTCATGTTTTCTTTTGCAAGGGAAAGGACTCCTGTTACAGTTTTCATAGTGCTCTACTGACTTGCTGACTCTGAAGAAGCGAGTTAAATGACATGACACTGCTTCCAGATGTCTCCTAGGTTGGAAGAAAATAAGGGACGAGATACATGGATTCCTGGGGACGTCTGTCCAGGGCTCTAGCAAAATGACATTTGAATTTAGTTGTAGATGCCTGTTGTAGATATAATATAATAGCTCTAAAATAATACTTTTGAAAATGTGGAGTGCCAGCCCAAGGCCTGGTGGTTAAGGTGCATAGATTCTCATGGCCAGCTGTGTGGTTCAAGGCCCAGACCAGGCAGCTTGTAGAACAAGTGAATCTGCATATGTGCCCCAATCCTGTAAGCAGGGAGACGTGGAGGAGAAAAGAATCCAATGTGACCAAGTCCTGTGTGGGGGGTGCTTCTCACTCTTCTTTCTCTGTCCATCAGTCACAAATCCCTCTGCAAATTTAAAAAAGAAAAAGAAAAAGCCAACTATAGAAAAGATAGTGAGGGGAAACGCACAGTCTCATCAGCCAGAGGTAATCAGTGCTTCATTCTGGTAACTTTCACGGTACATTCTTTTACACTTTGACTTATTTAATGGAGCGGAGAGCAAACTCTATGTGTGTGTTCTATTGTGTATTAGTTTTTATTTTCTTGGTGATAGCGCATATGCAGGAGAGAGGCGCGCCTTTGGCCTGGTCTTGTCTGGCCATGATCTCTCCCTAGCCTTCTGGCATTTTAGGCGCGAAGGTGTTTTAATCCAACTGGGGATCCAAACCCACTCTTGGCCATGCCTCCTGCAGTCTTGCAGGGCGTTATGTTACAGAGGCTGAGCCTGCTGTTCCAGTTGTAGTCTCAGTTGTCACAGTAACCCAAGCATTGTTCTCAGTCATTGTAAATGCTGCTTAAGTATTTATGCTAGTGACTAGACTGTGTCTAAACTCATGAGTTATCTCATTACTCCTACTTTTAGATATTTAGGTGATCTTCTAATTGGGAATATTATAGTTATGTTAAAGCCTTTTAATAGAGAAATTTACTGAAATACCACATGCACAAGTCATGGATGTGTATTATTATGTATTCATAAGTATCCAGCATTTTCATTTTTCACAAGTCAACAGCTGGAACTAGAGCCCACATTAATAAGTCACCACCAAGTGAACACAGCATTTTCCGCTACTCAGAAATAGAACTTGACCAGATTCCCTAAGCTGCATGCCCACCTCGTGCTCTCTGCTCACAGTCCCTCTCTCTTTGTTGAAGGTAATCACTATCCTGACCTCAAATGCCACATGTCAGTGTATATCTTGAAGATCTATAGTTCAGTTCATTTTCTTTAGATTTCAAAAGTAGAGTTACAAAATCGAGATATACAAATATTTTAAATTATCTTAATTCATACAGTGAAGCTGCTTTCAAAAATGCCATGCCATTTTGCCTCTATGTTCTACAGGAATATGGAAGGGACTTTGGTTTCTGAGTGGGGGAAAGGCGAGAAATCAGGGTTGAGTGAAGAGACAGTTCTGGACAGTGGCTAGGACCAAATTGGACTATACTGCTTTGGGGAAATCTCAAGTCTGTTTCTATTTTCTATTCTTTTTTTTTTTTTTGGAGAGGTTTTCACTATAGGGTGCGCGCGCTTGCCAGACAGACAGAGACATAGAGACAGAAAGTGAGAAATCACCCCTTAGGGGGGATGGTCGCACCGCAATCCCTTCTCCTCCATTCTCCTCTCGGGATCTTGGGCACGCACGCACATGCACCCAGCGTGAGTTCTAAGCCACCGGGTCCGGGATGCGAACCGCAGTCGACCACGTGGGAGTCCAGCGACATAGCCATTATGCTAACTGCTTGTTCCCTATTCTTGCCATTTTTAAATTGCTCTCCTTTATCTGGATGTTGCCAGTGATTGCGGCAGAAAAAAAAAAGGGTGTGGCCAACTGTACACTGGCTCTTAAGAATTCTGGATGCAAGTGACACCCCAGCTTCTGCCAACAGTCGTGGCCAGAGAAAGGCACATGGGCTCAGCAGAGCCACGGCTACAGGCTTTTTTTTTTCAGCAGAGCCAGGGCTACAGGCTTTCCCGCAGGGAGAGGTGCGATGGTGGGAAGCAGAAATCCTTGGTGGTCACACCATCCACCACACTTTCTATTCAGCGACGTCTCTCCACCTACGAGATCAGAACATTTAAGTTACTCATCTTTTACTTCTATTATAGAAGAACTTATTGGCCCTGGGGAGACCTGCATCTCTGTATAGGGCTATAACTTACGGAATTTTCAGTTGGGTGGTTGCATAGTGCTGAACTTCTTGGGGTTTGCAAATTTCTTTTTTGAGAAGCCCAGAGTATATTTGTTCATGAAGAATGTGGACATGCTTAATTCAGTTTTTAGGTGGTTTTTATGAAATGCAATTCCTCTTTAGGAATAAGTTCTTCATAGCTAGTTTTCACGTACTACTTACATGTTCTGTGAGAGACTTTCTTCCTGGCCAGGCAGGAGAACTGGCTTGGCTCATCTCTGTGCATCTCACTCCAGGTAATCAGGAATGCCTTTAACTGTGGATCACATCCTGTTGCCTTCTCCTGCTGTTAGTTCACACTCTTTTTATTGCCTTTCTTTTTCATAGTAGGTATTTTGTGTTTTTAGTTGATAGCCTCAATAATTGCATTTTGTTTTAGTCTACTTTTTTTAAAAAAAATCTTTAACATTTTTTAAAATTTATTTGTGATAGTGCGTGTCTGTGCACATGAGATAGAAAGAGAGAGGGAGACAGAGAAGCACCCTTCAGAGGGTCTGCTAGTGTCATGATCCTCCTTCCTCATCCCTCTAGCTCGTCAGGATCCTGGACACGTGTGCTCGTGTTTTTGGCCAATCTGAGGATCCAGACCCACTGTTGCCATGTGGCTGCCAGCACTACAGTTCATTTTGCTACCAACTTCACCGCCATACTGTGTCACAAAACATCTGTCTTCAGTCGAGACACTGCTGCTCGAGTTGTCGTGCGGTGGTGTGGGTAGCACATTTCTATTAGGTAACCCTCGGTTTAACTCAGTGTCTCTCCTTTCTCCCCGAAGGTCTCTTCTCTTCAGGAATGGTGGAGTTGGGAAGTCACTCCCTTAGCCCTCCACCGGGATGAGCCACCTGCCAGAAGACATGGAGAACGCTCTCACGGGGAGCCAGAGCTCACACGCGTCGTTGTGCAACGTCCACTCCATCAACCCCGCTCAACTCATGGCCAGGATCGAGTCCTATGAAGGAAGGGAAAAGAAAGGCATTTCCGATGTCAGGAGGACTTTCTGTTTGTTTGTCACCTTTGACCTCTTATTTGTAACGTTACTGTGGATAATAGAGTTAAATGTAAGTCAAGCTTTCTTTTTTCATGACTTCATAAAAAATGCTACCAGAGACCAAAAAAAAAAGATTTTTTCTCATCACTTCTGTCTCGTTTAGTGACCTTCCTTTCTCCAAGTGTGGCAGTACTGCTATACTCCAGTTGACCTGGAGTGTTCTCATTCTTTAGTGTTTCTGCTTAAGACAGACAAGGTAAATTTAAACCTCACTTTGTCGTGGATTTTGAAATTTGAATTCCTAGTGTTTTGCTGTGTCATATGAGCTGATAGACTATAGGCTCCGGGAAAAATTCATCTGGCTCATTTTAACAAATTTTTATTGGCAGATAGACATTCCCTTCTCTCATCTAAGGCTGGCTTTTTTCTTTTTTCTTTTTTTTTGGAGAGGTTTTTTGCTATAGGGCGCGTGCGCTCGCCAGACAGACAGAGAGAGACAGAGAGACAGAAAGCGAGAAATCACCCCCCAGGGGGGATGGTCACGCCGCAATCCCTTTTCCTCCATTCTGCTCTCGGGATCTTGGGCACACACACACACGCCCAGCGTGAGTTTTAAGCCACCGGGTCTGAACCGCGGTCGACTACGTGGGAGTCCAGCAACATAGCCATTAAGCTAACTGCTGCTTCCCTAAGGCTGGCTTTTGTGTTGAGTAGTTGTGTTGAGAAATTGCAAGAGAGATTCTTTCCCACAAAGACAAACATTTTTATTCCCTACATCTTTTAAGAAAAAGTTTGACAGTCCTAACTCCAACAAATGTAAACTGCTTCCGGAATATGTTTTAGATATTGCATCTACTTCTGTAATTTCCATGTTTGAGATTTAAACAATTTTTTTTTGTCAAGGAGATTACTTTTTAATATTTTTTTGAAATGAGAATCATAGCAATGTCTCAGAGGTATTTGGAGGTTTATATAGTTATATTACCAAATAATTGTCTAGACACCATTGTCCAGTAGAATATAATACACGCCTCATTTGTAATTTAAAATTCTCTGTTGCCACATTAATAAAAGTCAAAATAAACTGGTAAAATTCACTTTAATATATCTTAGGGGCCAGCAGATGGTGTAGAGGTTACATTGCTGGACTTCCACGTAGCTGACCATGGTTCAAGTCCCAGACCAGGAGGCTTGAAACTCATGCTGGGCACGTGTGCATGCATGCCCAAGATCTTGGGAGGAGAATGGAGAAGGGACTGTGGAGTGGCCATGTACCCGGGGGGGTGATTTCTCTACTTTCCCTCTCACAGGCTCTGTTTCTTTCTTTCTTTCTTTGTGTCTCTCTAAATTTCTAAATATATATGTATTTTATTTAACTCTATTATTTCTGTTTTCTCCCAAAGCCTTGGGTCTAATTGCTTATACTTTTTACCAGTAGTTGAGCTCTTCCAGAAAGCTTTCCTTATTAGCAAAAAAAAAAAAAAAGAAAGTTTGCTTCTTTCTTTGTTTTTTTTTGTTTTGTTTTGTTTTGTTTTGTTTTTTGAGAGGTTTTTGCTATAGGGCGCGTGCGCTTGCCAGGCAGACAGAAAGAGACAGAGAGACAGAAAGCGAGAAATCACCCCCCAGGGGGTATAGCCACGCCGCAATCCCTTCTCCATTCTCCTCTCGGGATCTTGGGCACATATGCACACGCGCCCGGCATGAGTTTAAGCCACTGGGTCCGGGACCCGAACCACAGTCGACTATGTGGGAGTCCAGCAACATAGCCATTACGCCAACTGCTGGTCCCTGCTTCTTTCACTTTCAGCAGTTCACTTATTTCCAGGAAGTATGTGCTATGACTTATGTAGTAGTAATTATTACCTATTTTTTATCAACTGATTGTTCTTCATTAATGCACAGTGCTAGGCTCTTCATGAAATGTATTGAAATACAGAAAATATGAAAGATGCTGAGATTTGAAATGATTTTGAATTTTGCCCTTTCATAGCAAGACTCAACATCTTAATCTAAATTCTGATTCATAACAGCAATTTCAGTTCTAGACTCTGGTCTCTTAATAATTACGATCATTAAATCGCATTTGATTTCGTTATCAGTCCTAACATAGCTTGTTATGAAAGCAGACACTTGTATCAGAAAATATGATTCATCTCAAAATCACAGCAGTGTGCAGCACAGATATGCTGTTAAGTGTCTGCTGACTTTTCATTGGTTAATGTAGCACTAAAAATAGGTTAGTGATAAGTCCCTTTTATACTGTTTGTTTAATATGTGCACAATAAAGAAAATATTTATGTTAGTGTGTATTTTAAGAGAGTAATATATTTTTATTTCAGCCTTTTCTTTAGAGATTTTTGGCACACATGCATACACATCCAGGTCTGGGATTTGAACTATATACTCAGCTGTGTGGGATCTACCATGCCATGTGCTAGCTCTGCATATGATACTTTATAAGTGAAAACTCACTAGGCCCAGCAATATAGAAGTATTTGTCACTTTTCTGTTAAGTGCCAGTTTTCTCAGTTGAAAATGTAAAGATCTGACAGAGGTATATGATCTTTAAGGTAGTCCATTATGCATTTTTGCAGTAAGACTTGTTTTTTCAGTACCCACTTTCTAGTCCTGTTTGTTTTGCATTATCAGTCCTGGTCTCTCCATCTCTAATTGCTGACATCCATAGCGATCTTGTTTGTTTGCATGTGTATGCATTCACCAAATGCCAAGCCACAAGTAAAGCCCTACCAGAATCTCTGGTCTCTAAACTTGCTGAGGCCGTGTGATACATTTCTTCTGATACTGTTACTCTTTAAAAGAAGGAAGAGAATGTTGCAAAGCCCTACCAGAATCTCTGGACTCTAAACTTGCTGAGGCAGTGTGATACATTTCTTCTGATACTGTTACTCTTTAAAAGAAGGAAGAGAATGTTGCAAACTACTGAGGCATTTAGAAGAGTATGGGACCCAGCTACGCTCTGGGCGCTGCGCTCTGCGATGATAACAGTAGTTCAGACACGACTTCCAGCTTAGCCAGCTGCTTCTGCTTGCTCCCGGGCAGTAACTGGCACGATCCCAGGCTGTACAGGGCCTTGGGGAGCCAGAGAAGCCAGCTCCTCCAGTTCATTTTCCTTCTGCAAGGTCATAGGGCCACTAATCTCTTTTGGGTTAGATGAAGGGATGATTTTGATACTCTCTGTGGTCTATCTTGGTCTACTTAGAATAGACAAGATTTTCCCCAGGTAGATCTGGAATTAACCGTGGCTTGGGGTCCCTGAGGACTCTGGTCCCCCTCTGGACTCTCACCTGGACTCTGTCACGTGTAGATTGATAGGAATATGGATCAAAGTGGGAATAGAAGAAAAGTTATTTTTCTCTTTTAGCTTTTGACATGTTGAGACTAGGTTCAAAAACGGCCTTTCCCAATGCTTATGGCCTTTTCTTCTCTTTGTCTCAAGCTGGTAGACTAGAAAGTATCAGAACACTTCTGAGTGGACCTAGAATGAACCCCTCTACCCCAGACCACCCTTCATAACCTGCTCTGTGGCCTTAGGGCAGGCCATTTAAGTTCTGTGGACCTCGGTTTCTCCATCAGTTCACTGAGCTAGTACCTGCCCTGCCTCCATGTGAGGATGAAATGGAAAGATGTACACAGCAGCCCCTTGGCATTACAGAGCTCTGCACAGCAGCAGGTTGTGCCTTTTACTAACTGAAATAAATTTAACCCAGAAAGAAAAAGTTGGTTACTGTCCTTTCACAATTGCTGCATTTCAGTTCCAGCTATTTACTGCCCCACTGATTCCAATTCTTCCTGTCTTTCCACTGTTGAGTGTTGTCCAGTTGGGCTCCGCAGACCTGAACTTAAAGAGAACAGAAATGGAGATGAGGGGTTGGCCTTGTCCGAGAAGAGAGTGGAGGAGCTGAAGTATGAATTGGGTATGGAAGGCAAAGTTCACCTAGGATGGAAGGAGGTCCGGGGTTGGGGTTTGGAAGTATTAAGGGTCCGGGGACCCTTGGTGAATGGTAGGGTCGCTGTGGCAGCGGTGCAGGCCGGGTGAAATCGGCCGATGGGCAGGACGAACACTGTCTCAGAAGGTGCTGGAGGAGTGCCAGGCGGGGTGGTGGGAAGAGCAAGGGCCTTTTTTTTTCAGGCGGGTTGGCGCATCCCTCATCCCAGGTAATTATGGTTTCTAATGATGAGACCTCAAAGACCAGTACCAGAAGGAACTGACTGGGGAGGGGTTGTGTGAGAAACCAGAAAGCGTGTAAGGCACGTTGAGCTGGAAACGACTTTCAAGTAAGGGTTTAGAGTACAAGTTAAAGTTAGGGATAAAAAATTTAGGGATTTCTACTTAAAGGTGACATAATGTCAGGGTCTTTTAAAGTACACAGATGACAGAGAAATGCTTTATTTTTTAGGAGAGGTTTTTGCTCTAGGGCACGTGAGCTCACCATAGAGACAGAAAGCAAGAAATCATCCTCCAGGGGGATGGCCATGCCGCAATCCCTTCTCCATTCTCTTCTCAGGTTCTTGGGTATGCACACACATGCGCCTGGCGTGAGTTTAAGCCACTGGGTCCAGGACTTGAACCATGGTTGACTCCATGGAAGTCCAGCGGCATAGCTATTACGCCAACTGCTGGTCCTGAGAAATGCTTTTCTCTTGGCTGTTTATGACAAAACTGTTGGCAGCTTCGACCCCTGTTTTCCCACCAATGGAAGAGGGACGTCTCCACCGTGTGCTCTAGGCCACTTGGAATAACCTTTCTGTTAATATTCTAGATATTGGCAAGCTTCCTTTGGAGAGACAGCATTGAGACTGATGGTTAACTTTTAATAACTACTTCTTTCTCCCAGGATTTTAACTGTGTTCAGTTGGCCAGGTCTACAGCCAACCTGTACTGATCACAAGTAATCTAAACCTCAGTAAGGGATTTGAAGGCACAGAATGGTGATGATGGTATGCTTTCATTTGTATAACAAACGTGAAAACACAGAAAGCTAGCTGAGCCCAGAGCTCCCTCTCCTTGTGGCAACTTCAATTCTATTTTGACAGGGAGTGAATTTCACAGATACTCCTTGTGTTTTCTCCTCCTAGCTAGGTCTCTGTTTTTGCCCTTCGTCTGGGCTTTTTCAGACTGCGTTGTGTGCCAGGCTGTGCTCCCGACTGGGAATTTGGATTTACTGTTGCACATTGCATTCCCCCAGTCAGGCTAACCCACCCCCAGCAGTTGCTGGCATGGGTGCTGCACTGGCTGCCCGACATCTGTCACCTGCCTTGATTAAAATATATATATAAATATTCTCTACTGTCTAATTTCTAGAATTTCGAAATCAGTCATTGAAAATCCATGTTGCAGTGGAATTCAGAGGACAGAGTTCATCATGTCATGTTTCCTTTCCATCATTTTATTGTAACATGATCACATGGTTGCAGGTCTCATCTGTCCTTTAGTTATTCAAATTGTAATGCATTTATGTTGATAAGAGAGTATCCAAGTATGTATTTGAAAATGTTTTTGGGCACAGCAATTGGCACGGGCATTAAGGTACTGGACACATGGCCGACTGTGAGGTGCGTCCAGGCCCCGTCACTTGAAAGTTGCCAGGTGTGTGCCCCAAATTCCAAAAGGAGAGTGGAGAAGGGACTGTGGTATGGCCATCCTCCCCTGTCTCTTTCTCTCTAATGAGCACACATGCCGTATGGCAAGAGATAAAAGCCTTTAAGTGCAGAATTTTTAAATGCCAGAAGCAAATAAAAATGAAAAACTGCAGAATTGCTCCCACTTCTCTTCTGCGTTGTGATGACACCATCATTGATGTTTGCTACCAGGGCAGGGGACCCCTGGCCTTCCAAGATCCCTTCATCGGGGAGTGGGAAGTGAGGGAGGCACGGTAACTGAATTGCCTTTCAAAATACACTATTGAAGCCTTTATCTTAGAAGGGAAAAAATCATTTTTTACTTAACAGTTTAGTTTTCCAGAACTTGAACCACAGGAGTCCTTGTTTTCACTATACAGTTTTCTGTTGAATGAATGAATTCTGAACCGAAGACAGGGAAGAGCTATTCAGCCCTTTTCTGTTAAAATGATGTGTGTTCTTGCACCAACATTTTTGGTTCTGAGGAAGGAGGCGGAAAAGTGTGTAGGAAACGTGCCGTTGTTTTTGTGCATAAACCTCTTGTGTTGGCTTCCTCCCCTCGCTAGGTGAACGGAGGCATCGAGAACACCCTGGAGAGAGAGGTGGTCCAGTATGACTACTACTCTTCTTACTTTGATATCTTCGTAAGTATTTTTTGTTTGCCATTTTGACGCAGGGGTGCAGGGACGATGGGGCCCAGCATCGTAGCAGTACACAGGCTCTTGTCTCACACTCACAGAGAATTAAAGATACAGGCAAGTAGAGGGGACAGAAGTGGAGTTCATCAAGGGGAAGGAAAGCAGAGTTCCCAAGCAGGGAGCAGGTCCTGGGAAACTGGGTTGCCAAAGAGAAACTGGGGTGGAGGGTCTTTGGGCTTGCTCTCTAGTTCATGCCTTCTCCTCGTGAAGGAGTGGGGGCACATGACGAATGAGTCCAGGCGTTCTTCTCCCAATTTTGGAGTGGGTATGAAGGTCAGGAGATTGTCTAGAAACTTCGGGCCATACAAACCATTATCTTCTTCCTAGAATGAGGTGGGGCCTGGAAAAAAGCCTTCGTTTTAGGTCTAGGTCATGTTGCCTAAGTAAGTCAATCTCTGAACCACCACTGCGGGCCGACTCCCGAGCAAGCAGCTGAGCTGCTTTGTCTCTTAAAACTTAGCCCTCTGGGATTCCATTTGGGGCCTATAACCCACCCATATTCTTAGGGTCCCTGTCCCCTACCTCATTCCCCACTGTGCAGAGGAGGCTAACTGCTGCTGGGGGAGATAAGGGTCGAAGACCGTTCTGGCTTCTTCTT